AAGTAGAATAAATTATTCTTAAACTCAAACTTAGAAGTATCATGAGACTTAGAAGAATTATTCTTGATATCTTGAGCAAGAAGATCAAAAGACATTCTTGAGTGAATTTTCTTGATAAAGATTTAATCAACAATGAATGTTGATTTTATTACTCAAAGATGAAAATGCTACAACTTTAAATATATATATATATATATATATATATAGATTGATCAAAAGTTATATTTTATTTTTTTGATACAAGATAAAAATATTTAGAAAGATCATTTAATAAACCTTATTATTTTTTAGATCTATAGTTCATCTTTAAATCAAATCTTAATAAAGATATACTCTAACAAACTAGCAATGATTTAAAACACACGTCAATATGAAGTATTTAAAGTTCTTGTGATCCGTATACACACTAATTAGACTAGAGGCGCCTTTTAGATAATGATGCCATTCTTGGAATGAATCCACAATTACAATAAGCTCTTTATTGTCGATGACATAGTTAATTTTGGCTACTAAAATTTTTCTAGATTAAAAATTTACTAGATGGAGCTTATCATCTACTCCTATTTATAATAAAACAACACCTATAATAAAACCTAATACATTTTTTTTCATGAAGAATGCCTTAAAGAAATCAACGTGATTTAAAATTGGTGCAAAAATAAATGCTATCTTCAAGGCTTCAAAAGATATTTCAGATTCTTTGCTCTACTTAAGTTTGTCTTTATATGTCACGCATAGAAGAAAAGCTATAACTTAAAAAAAGTTCTTAATGAAGATTTGATAATATTTGACAAATTTTAAAAAATATTGTATATATTTGACTATTTTATGAACCTTTCAATTTATGATAATCTAAATCTTTTTAAGATCTATTATTAATCTTTTGCTAAAAATAATATATCTTAAGAAATCAACTTGAATAGTATAAAATACACACTTTTTCATCTTTGCATATAATCTTGCATCTATAAGTTTTTATAATATATGACAAATATAAAGTTCATGAATTTTATATTAGAGTAGATTAGAATATTGTTTAAATAAAAGCCAATAAAATCATCAAAAAACTCACAAAAGACATTATTCATGACATGTTGAAAAACAACTTTAATGTTTATAAATCTAAAAGGCATAATATTATATTTAAAATATCCAAATGTAGTTTGGAAAGTAGACCTTTATTTTTTTATTTATTTTTATATAAATTAGTTTATATGCTCCTCGTAGATTTATTTTTATGTAGATCTTTGCTTAATTGAGTTGGTTAAGAAGTCCTAAAATCAATGATAGGGAATACTTATGCTTAATAGTGATTTTGTTAAATCTTTGATAGTCTTCAAATATTTGCAGAGATCTATCTTTTTTCTTCACAAATAAAATAAAAGCTCTTGCTAGAGATTTCAAATGGTGTATGAAGTTCTTAGCTAAGCTCTTGTCAATGTATTCTTTTAATGTAGCCAACTCATTTTGCGATAAGCTGTAGATTGGTCCAAATGATAGTTGAGCTTCTTCTTATAGATCAATTAAACAATCATAGGATTAATGCTCTAAAAAAATATCTATATTTGTTTTTTCAAAAATGTCCTGAAAATCTTAATATTACTTAGAAATATCATCCTTTGTTATATATGCTATGCCCATTTTTGTAGATTCTTATTGGTAGGTACAAGAATCTTATACCTACCAATAAGAATTTAGATGTATTAAATTTATGTATTTCTATTTCACTTTCAAGATTTTGGATTAAATTAAAAAAATACTTAAAGTTAAAAATAATCTAATCTATTTGAGGATTATTTTTTTTATCCATGATAATCTTAAAATAATTAGATTGAAAAGAGATCTTATCATATTAAATATTACTATTCTATTATAATCTTTAATTGCTATATCTAAAAGAATAGTTTTATGAATAATATCTTCAAAAGATAACAAACGACCATCTATGCTTTCTACATGTATGGATTTAGTATTTTTGACTAAAAATATTTCTTGTTTCTTGAGAAAGTCTTCGTCTATAAAACATGTTGAGGTTCTTAAATCTAATAATATAAAGGCTTTGTAATTTATAGGTCCTAAACATATATCTACTATAAAAAAAAAAGTAAAGGATTTGATGAGAGAATAAGACCTTTATTAGATATTGCATATGATTCCAGCTGAACGGTTCCTATTGTAGTTGGAAAAATTTACTTTTTGACACATTATCTTATTTGACAATTGTACTCCTCATTTTGTGATTGCATTGCTTTTTTGGATAATGTTGAATAGTGTACTTAGCTTTTCCACAATATAAGTACAAATCCTTTTGATAATGTCACGTCTTTTCTTACTTAGTAAAGAATTTAAAACGTATTGTATCAATATGCACTAGTTTTGGCTTTGATAAATGAGTTTCTAAAAACTTCGAAGTTGTCGTCATTATTTGGCTTATTTTTCTTTAGCCAAGTCTTTATTGTTAATGCCTTTCAAATAATCGATTGTTGCATGCAATGGCTTACGCAATAAATTATTCTAAAGATTTTGCTTTCAATATTATCAATAATAAATCATTCACATTATCCTTCAACCTATATTGAAATTGATTGATAATGGTTTTGTCATTCTAATCCACGTCGAAAGCAAGGTTTTGAAATTCAACAGCATATATGGTAGTTGATTGTGATTCTTATCATAAAGATAAGAGTTTGGTCTCTACTACTCTTTTTTGATCACTATCTCCAAATAAAATTGTAAATACTTTTAAAAATGAATTCAAATCATAAAAGAATCATGAATCTTCTTCCATTAATGGTGCAAAGTGAGAGAGAGCACTTCTAGATAGAAGTGTGCCTATGAAGTGAACTTGAGTAAATCCATCAAGATATTGGAAGAGATACAACCTTCGATAGAGCTTGACTTATTGTAAAAATTGTCAAAATTTTGATCTTATTCTAGCAAACTTATTGAGCATACTAATCCATGTCTCTATTATACTTGTAGAAGCAAAATTTCCTAGATTTGGTTGTGAGGTCGATCTACTTGCTTCCTTTAACTGTACAACTTCTTGCCATAAATTTTGAACTTCTTCCATAGGCTTAGGATTGGTATTTCTGTGGTTGGCACTAATGATATGTGAAATTTCTATTCTGAGAGTATTGACAAGTTTGTGAAGATCTTCACAAACTTAACAACACTTTTAGAGTGCAAATATAAGCTAAACTAAAAATATATTTAATATACATTGTGAACTAGTATTAACATTGATTGCTCATTAATAATACTACAAAGTAGTTTTATAACTCTTAATTATAATTGCAATGTAAACAAAAGCAATATAAATTTGCATACTTTATTTGTTGTAATAAATGTTATTAAACTTAAGAAATATACATCACATAAATGTTGTAGGCATGTCTAAAGATTGGCAATAATTATAAAACACAATATATATATATATATATATATATATATATATGATTTTTAGGTAAATTGAGATAATTATAATATACCATACTACATTCAAAATTGTTAATATAATAATTGCTACAAAAATATTTCTAACCTATTTACATATTGCAACACATATATAAAATATATCTTTCTATTTATATAATTAAATTATATTTTCAGAACAATTAATTTTACAATATTATCCAAATGCAAAGCATGAATTTCGAACTCCACCAAAATTACTACTCTTTATAAATCAATAATTTGTTTGTTATATAATTAAAACTAATAAATGATAGCATTTTATCTTAAATAATATTATGTTTACAAATAATGTTGTAAAAGTCTTAATGGTGCAAAAACAAACCAAAATATAAAAATAAAAAATCCAACTACAAGAAAAAAAAATTGTGCAATACATTGATTAGAAGAACAAATAATTGTGACTGCATCCATTATACTCTACCACAGTGATGAAATAACTCCCATATCCATTACATTTTGCCAAGTAAATGCACATCTTCTGCAAGTTAGAATTCACATTCCCACCTCAATCATCTCCAACTACACCCAGTGATGACCTTCCTATTCACTATCAAAATTTATACCCATCAGTTAATCTTTGATAATTCATCACCCTGCTCAATTGCTCGATAACTTTCATGCTTTTCAATACTAAGAAACATGCTCATCAAGTCAAAGTAGCAAGATTCACCATAGAAGTTAATTTCGAGAGGTCCATGATATATCCGATCCATGTGTACTCCAATGTGCGTGTGGAATGGAATTGAATGAGCAAATGCTAAAATTCACCTGATTAAATGAAAAGAAGAAAAAATCTACTCTGTTCATTGATGGTGTGATACCAATCTTATGACGGAATAATTTCCACAGATTCAATATAGACGTAAGAAATCGGATGACAGTTCTAATACCATGAGTTGGTCATTGACATCTTGATACGACATGCGCAAGACCATTAACAACGTAGGGCATTGGTGGGCAGAGTCCGATCCAAATATATTAAGTTTACAAACTCATAAGTACGGAGGGTTGTACATCTTAGGTTCCGAAGCTACTGTAAGCTGTGGAGCAGAAAGAGCGGATGTCTATCCTTAAACCCATTTCGATTCCTCAATACTGCAACAAGAATTGTAGGAGCTCAAATATACATATCAATGAGTTCGATGCATACAAATATCAGAAAAACCGAGAGGCAGCGACGAAAGGTGCAACAAGAGGAGTGAGAAACTACAGATGGGTACCATCACTAAGCCCTCACACCGAAACCAAGATACCAAAGTCGATTGAACACACAACTACAGTTAAGTGGAGCCCGAAAATCAAGCAATCAGTTCATCGCTGCTTAAAAACTGGTTAGAATGTTAGAACGAAGCTCCTACGAGACAAAATACCCTACTAGACCAGATAAGCATGAAAATTCACATCCAATCACAATTCGACAGAAACCCTTCCTGAGTGCCAATATGACATTGGGATATAGGACGTTCATCGAGTACCACACATACAGGTAGAAGACACCTAAGCGAATTGGTTGACATCAAATATCGGAGGAAATAATAGCAAATTCAGCAGAGGGTGAAGTGAAAATAGGTTAAAGAACCGCTTGACATGTATCCTCTAGAGGGTCAATTGGAAATGGTGCCCAAATGAATCCCAAAAGAAATCCTGCTTCCATTGCTACAACTCGTGTACCAGTACAAAATTAACAAGTACAGCGATGAATCACAACATGCACAACATGGTACCATGCTTAACGTTTGCCACCGGCACTGGTCTTCGCAGCCTTGGGCTGAGCTGCCCGTGTCGCCTGCTTCCCGACCCCCTTCGTCGTCTTCACCATCTCGGCCTTCTTCGCCTTCTTCTCATCCTTCGTCTTCTTGATCCTCTCCTTGATCTCTCGCAACGCCGCCTCCCGAGCTGCGGCGCGGACCTCGGTCTTCTCGGTCCTCTTCTTCTGGATCACCTCCAACGACGCGCCCACGATGGACCTGGAGTAGGGTTTGTTGGTGGTTCTACGCTTCTTCTTTACGGCGGTGTCGTGCAAATCTTTCTTGTGTTGCTTCCGGAACAAAGCCGTCCACGAAAGCTTCGCGGGCTTCAGCCGGTTGTGGAAGTACCGCTTGCACTTGCTATTCAGGAACAGGAACACCTGACTGTCGCTGCGGATGAACCTGATGCCCCGGCCGGGGTAGATCTTGGCGCCGGAGAACCTGCAGACCTCGGTCTTGAGCACCATGGTGGCCGACTTCGCACTGCCAGACGACGACGACGACGACGCTGCTGCTGGCGTTGTAGCCGCAAAAGAGAGAGCATGTCCAGCGCTCCTCGCACCTCAAGTCCAGTCCAGACTCCTAACCTCCTAGCCCTAATCCTCGTAGAACGGGTTCCCAGGTTCCCATCTCTGTTCCCATGCCTCTGTTCGCCGATGTTTGAGATCGTTGACCTGTTCAACCATGGGTGCTCCACCTGAAGCTTGACGGCAATTTCCAGAATAGTCATGGATATATTTATTTACTGGGAATTGTGAAATTGACTCAAGTATTTACTAAATCCACCCACTCATTTAAACCATCATCAAAAAAATTCTCCAATGCCAGATTTGGAATGGATATATATCAAGTTTTAAATAGAACGATTAAAACTGAAGTAGATTAGAAAAGCTAGTATTAGTTTCTTGCAAAAAATTAGCTCTAAAAAACCTAATATTTAATAAGATTTGTTATCTTCAACATCAAGTAGTCATCTAAATTTGTACTAGTCTAAATGTCAATCTATTGCTTTGAAATGTTGAAGTATATAAACTTTGGAGATAATAGACATTCTAACATTGTTCCATTAAAGCTAAACAACAATCTTAATGTTTTGTAACTTATTTTATCAGAAACATAAAAAATGTGATACCTTTGACACAACATGTATTGATATAATTTAAAAAAATAAAAAAATACACACACACATCAAAACCACAAGAGTCTTTTTTAATTTATTTCTAATTTAATTTAATTTTTATTTCAAAAATAGTAGATATTTAATGCAATTCAAATAAATATAAATAGTATAAAATTTGTCAATTACATATTTTATTAATTATTATTAATGTGTTTTTTAAGAGAGTTGAATATTATACTCTTTCTTCTTAAATAATACATTAAATAAAATAATAATTTTAATTTATCTTATCATAGGCTTTGACAAAATCTACATATCAAATACAAAAATAGTTAACTTTTCTAAACTTGGGTTATTGTTTCATGTGTTAAAATATAATATTTCAAATATAAATTGTTTAAGAAGAAACTCTAATTGTTTATAACAAATAATTTTAGAAAATAACAATTTTTAGTTATACTCAATGAATTCTAATTTTAAACTTATATTTTTAACTTAAAAAAGTGATTGGTGGTCACATACATGATCATTTATTTATTTATTCATTTTAAGATTAAATTTAATTGATATTATTACAAGAATTTTTGAAAAATTGTCGTGTAATATTTAATCTAGCAAAATAACTATGCATGTTAAGACAATTGGTACTTATTATTGAGAGTATTGTTATCATTATTATTCCTATTTATATCTACATTTGTCTAAAAATATTAAACTAAAATTTAAAATTAAGAAGTAAAATCAGAAACATCCTTACATTATAAAGGAAAAAATGGATGTTATAAAACAAAATCATAAAAATAATTCAATAAATGCAAATTTCTATCAATTTGTGGTTATTGATTGCATGATGTACCATTTGTTTTTTAGAAAGATAGAAAGAAAGAAGAAAATTAGTGGCTAATTTGTATATTTGTAGAATTAATAAAAAATATATATATATTTCTTGATGTTTTGGTTTTGGTTTTGTTTTGTTTTTTTTTTTTTAATTTATTGCACTTCTGGAAAGTAATAAAATGGACTATCTTTATTTTATCATATTTCTAAATCCAAGTTGATATAATATTTCAATTTTCTTCTTAGGAAAGACTTTAGAATCATCTATATATCTTTTATAAATATTGATGATAATATAATAAGTTGGTTATTTTTTAATAAATAGAGCTCATAGATGAAAGTTTTTTAGTAAAAGAATATAGGATTTTTTTTTATCTAATTATTTCAGATATTATCAAAAACTTCAAATTTTATTTTAAAAAATAAAATACATTTGATTTATTAAACTTTGAATAATTTTTTCTTTAAGAAAATAAAGTTTTATTTAGTAAAAAAATGAAAATATTTAATTTATAGAATTTAACATTTATGTACAAAATATATTATAGTTTTAAAGAATTTATTATGTATCATTAATTAATTAATATTTAATTTTTTATTTATTTATTTCACTTTTTAAAACATGCAAAAGCTTTTTCCAAGCCAATTTGGTACTAATATGATCATTTCCTACTACTAAATGTGTGCTATATAAATATAAACAAATGTCAATACCATGTCTTCTTTCTCTAAAAGAATTGTCTCTATTGTTGCAACAAAAAGTTAATGGTATTAATCAATATCCATATAAGAAAACAATAAATGGTCTAAAGTAGTTGATATGTATTTTTTTGTAAAATTATTTTTAATTTATATATATATATATATATATATAATTAGACTTAACATGTATAGGATGAAGTATTTGATATTTTATTTATTTAAAGATCAAATACTATTGCTTTGTAGATTGAATTTTATAAATTATGTAAAAGTAAGATTTTTTTTTAATAATAGATAAGTAAGCATGGTTGAAAAAATCTTTGCAAAGATGTTAACATGGCTTCTTGAGATAACTTACAAGATGATTACTATTAATCATACCATGGTTTTACCAAAAGATGCAAATACCTAGAAGTTAATATATTAAACTGAGACCAATACAAACTTCTTTTTTTTGTTTTTTTCTCTTTTTCATAACTTAGAAACCACTCCTTGCATTGTAGCTAATAGAGAATCAATGTAGAGTTGAAACCATTAAAATATTGTTATTAATAATAATCATTTTACATTGATTTAATATTATTATTATTTATAAAGTCTATTAAAATTTACAATTACTAAGTTTTTGTATGTAATATACAACAATTGGATCTAAGCCTCAAAATAATTCTAATGTAATACAAAATCATGGCAAAAAAGAATCCCTATTATATTTGTTATCAACATATAAGATTCTAATTAAATCTTCCACAACCTACTATACATATTTTAGTAGTAGTGGTAAATTTATATAAAAAAAATCTAAGCCATAATTATTAAATATTTGATTTTTTTAAAGTATATATTAATTTTTTAAGATTAGAATACAATAATGCTTCACTAAGATTTTTACTTAGACAACAATAATGATGTATTGATCTTCAAATAATTTAATTTTAATTTTAATGTCTTAGCTTTGAACAATTCTTTCAAGTGCAAAGAGAAAATATACACAACTCACTAAAAATAAATATCATAATTAAAAACTCATTGTCAAATAAATATTTCTTTAGTTATCTATGTCAATAAATAAACCTTATTAAAAATATTTGCAAAGTTGTGAAGATAAAATTTACACTTAATATTCTAAATCAAATACCTAACAAAGAATAAAAATAAAACCTAAAAAAGATCATATTTTTAACTCTTTGAATCCATATTTGGGTTGGAAATTAAATGAGTCTCCCGCAATATGTTACAGACACAGAAATACAAACTCGAGATCTAACAAGAAGTTCAAGAAGAACTGGCAAGAACTAGATTAATCAGATGAATACAAGAACAACACCAGAGAGGTGAGCTAGAGCTCCAAAAGATGTGTTTTCGAGACTGAAGAACTCTTCAGCCTCGATTCCAATATATACTCCTATTTAGGAAGCTTCTCAAGCAACTTCTACCAACTAAGAAGCTTCTAGAAGGTTCCAGAGACTTGCTTCTAGAAGGTTTTAGAAATTTATCTCTAGAAGGTTCTAAGGACTATGTCCCTAACATCTTCTACCAACTAAGAGGCTTCTAGAAGGTTCTACAGACTTGCTTCTAGAAAGTTTTAGAAACTTGTCTCTAGAAGGTTCTAAGGATTATGTCCCTAACATCATCCCTTTTTTTAGCTTCGAGGTCTCTGAGAAGCAATGTTGTTGTTAATCAGTACCAACGTAAGAAAATAAAGATCTGTCGCATAACATCTGCTATGAACTCCAACTGTTGTTCACGAGGCAAGTGGTTCATCGACCCTTGAAGCCAATGGTAGTGGCCCACTCCTTCAACTTCTGACCAGGTATGAACTTCCGTGTCCTCATTGTGAAATTGTCTTGCAAACACGCCTTCTGGCTGACGATCGTAAGCAGGCTCGGACTCAAATATAATCACCAGTGATTGGTTACTCGATATCCTCCGTCGTCGTCGTGGTGTAGGTGGTTCTTCATCTCGGGGTCGCCTTCGTGAGCTAGTCAGTTGAGATAATCTGACTGGTATAGTATCTATCTCTTGGCTATCCATATCAGAAGACCAAACTATGGCTACTGAAAAAATTCTATTTTATCTTGGAGAAAATAACTACATTAACTACGAATTTTGGTGGTGCTCTATCCCTTTCTTATATTCTTGGGTGAGCAAGCTTCAGAAGGAAGCTATCGTCGAACCGGCTTAGGTTTATAAGGATGTTGTTGATGAAACTCCTGTACCTTTTGTGGCGCATTGGCGAGATTTTTAGCTGGCTCCCACGTTGTCGTATTACGTGCTTTCCTGCTCAAGAACGCACCGGGCGTCTAGCTGTAGAAGGTAGTATGGAGATTCGCTAATATTCAGGCAGTCTATCGGTTTTTGATTGTTAGAATATAAATGATTGCAAGAATATATCGTAAATCTATACGAATGTCCTTCGACTGCTCGTCGAAATCTTTTTTATCCTAGTCGGTAGGTTTCTAGACATTACAGAGAACCTCAAACAACCCAATCTGCTAATCTCCGATACTGCTTTATACTCACAACCTTGTATCTACTGACTGTCTTGTTAGATTAATCCAAAAATTTTCATTCACTCCGCATACTCAATCCTATAGACACCCTTTTAATACTTCAATCACAGACGTAACTTCAATTTTATAAAAAAGTCAAGAGTAATCACATCCACTTCATTAAAACCCCAATTCACCAGTACAACACTAACTTTCAGCAATGATTGCCCCCGTCTTCCCCAAAACCCTATGAAAAAAAAAAAAAAAAAAAAAAAAAAAACCTAATTCTCCGTCTTTTTTCGGAAGCATGAAGCTAGCTCTCCGACCCTTAAAACCCTAATTCTTCCCCCTCTTTTTTTCTAAACCTATCCTCCCCTTTAACCTTAATTCTCCCCTCTTTC